GACACTGACTGGACAAGTATTATTGAAAATTGGCCCACATATAATGGTCTGTCATCAGGTGCAACAAAAGTGAACAGACTGCTTCCTGGAAAATGCCTGAGTCCGCACTTCCACAGAGAACTTGACACTTTCTGAATACAAGTGAATCTGGTTCATCAAAAATACCATTTGCTCAGTTCTAAACTCTTCACAGTTCATTTAAACAGTGTCAACGCTACTCCTCTGTCATTTCTCTTTTCCGGTCTTATATTACACTAAAATGAATCTTGTGAGCTTTAGGACATGTTAAAATTAAAGTTACTGCCTCATCGAAAACACACCTGGAGCTGTGTTTTGTTTCATTCACACACGTTTGAGTAACACTTTATTATTAGTCTGTCTACACCTGCAAAGCTCAAAATGGTCTGTTCCACCTCGTGATGTCATGCAGCTGTAGATTTCAAGTTACCTTTCAAGCTACCTTTTACGTTTAGATCGGTAAAGATCGGCAATTCCAGGGCTGAAATGATCCAAATTATTCTAGTGAAGGTGCGTGGAGTTTAAAAACACAGACACGTGACATCACAAGGTGGAACAGAGTGTTTTCTATTGAAACTCCGGGTTTGTTTGTGACGAGGAGATAACATCATTAGTAGGAATGTGCAAAAATATCAAAATATCGATATATCGTATTGTTTAATGTGATGATACAGTATCGATATATCACCAAGAGTATTTTTTGGTATATTTTACTAAAGTATTTTGTTACAGCGCTACAGTTTTGTTGTTTGTTTAGAGGAAGGAAACTCTTTTATGCGGCACATTTGACATTTTCAGTGTTTTGGTGATTAAAATGTTTGTGTTTTATAATCACTTTGCACAAAAAGTGGTTTGACAAAGATTTTGAGGATCACAGTCATGTTTTAGAAATTTGTTTTTATTGAATCGTATCAAATCGGTTTGAAATATATCATATCGAATCAAAAGTGCACTGCATCGAGATATGTATCTTATCGTGACCTATGTATCGATTTATGCATCATATTGGCAACTTCTTAATGATACTCAGCCCTAATCATAACATAGATAAGGAAATAATATAGCGTAAAATAGGCCCTTTAAACCCTCTGTCATTTACCTTTTAGTGAGAGATACTCAAACTAGTAATGGGCATGATTAGTCGATTAATCGATAATTGACCATTAAGAATTTCGTCAATTACGTTCATTTTTAATTGACAAACCGAATGTAGGTTGCTGTGCTGTAGGGTGACCAAACGTCCGTTTTTCCCCGGACATGTCTGTTTTCCATGTCTTGTCCTGGCCGTCCGGGCTTTTTTAATAAAGTGATGCAAATGTTCAGGTTTTCATTACCTTTCATTGGACCATTAAACTGAGAGTCTCTCATAGCTCTCTGTAACTCATAAGGAGCGAGCAGACACAGACAGTCGAAGCGCAAATGTGCATTTAACGGTGACTTGTACCAAAAACTCCTCGCTTTTCGTCCCGGTCGAGACAAGTGGGAGTCCATGTGCACAGTGTACAAAGCAGGCACATGTGTAAAAACATTAAAAAGCTTTGCCAGGTGAGAGTAGCTCAATGTCGATGACGAGGCCCCACCTCCCATCCCCCGTACGGTGTCCTGGTTTTGACAAACACAAATATGGTCACACTAACCTGTATTCCACTGAGTCGTGTCCTTCAATCTGACAGAAGTTGAACCACATCAGTGCACAAGAGCTGTTTTTTTTCTTTGCTTAGTTTATGCAAATTAGTCGTGCAGTTTTAAGTTTCCTTTCTGTGAGACTTGTGCAAAGCTGCATTAAACACATTATAATGTCAAACGGGCTGATGTGGCTCTAGAGTGGCTACGGTTTATATGTTGTTGAATAAATTTGTTGACGATTGATTAATGAAATTTCATCGAATGCCCATCCCTAACTCAAACATATACTGTAAAGGATGAACTGGGTCCAGGAAAAGGAAGCTTCTAGCAAAGAATTAAGCAGCAAACTATTGTATCAAGGGACTTTAAGTGGCAATTGATTTTTCTAATGGAAGTGTGCCCTTGCTGTGAGGAGCCAATTTAGCTACAGTAAATATTTTCACTCTGGAAACACCTCAGAAACACCAGTCTGTGTGCAGAGCAGCCATCTGCAGCAGAGGACATGAGGCGCGAAAGAGGAGCAGCATCAGGTGAAAGAGAATTGTACCGTAGTGAGAAAAATTAAAACTAAAGACTGCCGCACACTACAGGACTACACGATTTTGGCTGCGATTTGCTTCTCCTCGAGTTGAGAGAGGTGTGACCCAACTTTGTGTCTTCGGGTGCGATTTTGAAGACCGCAGCGCTCCTCGTGTGTGGCGTCTGTGTGACTCTGAGCTGCTCTGTCAGATCTTAAACACAGCAACAGCCAATAAAACAGCGTCAGGGGCAGAGGAGTGAGGGACACAGAGGAGCAAGATACAAACTCAGGAAATAGCAAAAATAATGAGATTTTATGACTCATCTCTTGTAAAGTTGGAAATTTAAACTGCAGCATCTCATCCACATTATCCATAGAAACTGTCCTCCACAAATAATGACATCCAGTCCACAAAACAGCGCAGTTAATCCAGTTTGAAGTGTTCTTTAAAAGTAAAAAGGCAAGAGTAGTTCCTCACGTGTGTTTGTTTACACCCAGACAGCGCACGGATCGAGGTGAAGCTGCAGATTAGCAGTTGTGACTCTACTTTACTTCACTTTATCGCCATCTGTGCATTAAAAATCATGTATCTGAAGTTTGGCACAACATTTCACAAATCATAATAATAACACCGTTTTGACTTTCAGCTAAACTAGAAGTGCAATGCTCTGATCTTTTGAACACTCAAGAGTCTCAAAGCAAGTGTTTTTACAGTACAGGAAAAAACAGACATGAGGTGCGCTCACAACTTTACAGCCTGTGGTCGTGCTGCAGTCTTTGCGATTGGATATTTAAAATCCCTTAAGATTCTCCTCGTGTCTGTGGTGAGAACTTTTTGTTGCATGTTTAAAAATCGTTTAAGACCGAAAAATCCTGTAGTGTTTAGTGTTGGACAGTAATACGGTATGACATTATCTCATGGTATCAAAAAGTAGCAATGGTATCAGTTTCATTACCGTCATTAAAAAAATCTGCAGCCCGTAAGGACCTCATGTAATATTACAATTTAATGATACAGAAATTTGTTTGCTCGGCACAAATGAATGTGTGGTTGTAATTTCAATTTAATGCTGAGACGATTTAAAACTAATAGTGTCTATAATGTTTCTTTTAACTGTGTGGGGAGACGACGTTCGATTAGTTTCGTTCCTTTGTCACGTGACGCTCATAAGAGAGACCAAGACAAGACGGCAAGTCCGGCCACAAGCGAGTTGGTCCCAAAGAAAATACTAGTACTTAGTCCCAAAAAAAATACTAGTACTAGTACTACTAAAATGCTACTACTTTGGCAGCATTTTGGCTTCAGGCGCACATTTGTTTTGTTTACATTTTGTAGAAACTAAACTTAAAACCACATGGCTCATTTGCATAAACTATAAAGCGCTGATAAAAACAGCTCGCTCCTTGTGCGCTGATGCGGTTCAGATTCTGTCGGACTAAACGACACGACTCCGTGGAATATGAGTGTTCTTTGGATGTGCGGCTGATGGTGAGTTTGTTCTGTGCGTATCGCGTTGGAGATGGTTCGTGTGAAACTTCTCAGAGATTATGTAAAAATTGTGCGCTGTCTCAAATAAAGTAAATAAATAAATACAATTATAAGTCAGGTCATACACATAGACCGTATAGCAGTGGAGCTTCGTAGCTTACCAAAGTCGTACTAAAACATTTTGGTAATACAGTAATACTGTATACTCTGGTAAAATCCTCAGAGTTTAACGGTATCAAAATTTGCATACCACCCAACCCTCGTAGTGTGTGGCGTCTTTTATACCACAATCGGTGGAATCTGATCTTAGTTTTAACATAACCTTAAAAACCATAAAAAACTGATTTAGCTGCAACAACAGGTGAACTGATTTATGATGATCAACAAGCCTCTCACAAATAAAACTAGAAAAGCACTCAGAGAGCGCAGACCTCCGCCAAGGACTACCCCCATTTTTATATAAATTGAGATAAAATCAGTCTTCTGGATCAGATCCGGATCAGCCTTTGGAATATGAAAGAGGATCCCATTGTCCATCCCTGAGTCAAATTTCATGGGGTTTGGTCAATAATTAACCGAGATACTGAGAAACAAAAGTTTGGCCCCATTTACCACAATGTTAACTAAAATTTCAAAGTGATCCAGAATCCAGGATTTCTTCCGGATCACCCCCAAAATGAAATCAGTTCTTCCTTTTCACATTTCCAACAAATCCTGAAAATTTCATCAAAATCGGCCCATAACTTTTTGAGTTATGTTGCTAACAGACAAACAAACAAACAAACAAACAAACAGACAAACGCCGGCAAAAACATAACCTCCTTGGCGGAGGTAATTACAGTCACAAGAAGAAGCTGGCATTAGTATACTTTTTTCAGTTAGTCACTCTCACCATTTGGTTGAAAATCAAACACCTAAACAAGACCATGAACGCTCGCATGCATCACAAGCGCCTGAAAATGTGCTGTTTAAATCCATTTTGTATTGTTTCTTGAGATTTTTTGGCAGCGTTTTGCTCATGTGTGCACTGCGTCTCCATGGTAAATGCTTGAACAATCCACTATACTAGAGATACATGCAGAACACACCCAGCATGATGTCACCGCAAAAGTATAGACTGATTACTTTGTACTTTACCCTGAAATATCCAAATGGTAAATTCTAGACCCAAAACCCAAGAACTCACTGTATTACAACAAAAATCTGCATTTTAGCTTCCACTCGTCTCTATGGAATATCATTGGCTTATAAAATGTTGTGAGCTCATCAGAAATTCATCTCTGTTCCCATGAAATTCCACCCCTTGCCCTTATTTGTGACGGCGATAACGGTGACGATGGTGCACACCTGGGCGTCTACCAGCAGGTGTCTCATCAGGGTCATGGACTTGTGCATGCTGTCTCTCTCCGGGGGGCTGGGGCTGGAGTCCGGCTCCTCCTCCGGCTCCACGGGCTTCGGACCGGGCACCATGAAGTTGGCAATCTGGTCATTCAGGCTGTTCAGCGACTGCACAGCTGCAACACACAAGCAAGAAGAAGCTAGAGAGAGGGCTGAGGCAACAGATGGTCCGTATGTGGGCAAATACGTCTTTACATCAATCATTTTTCAGTTGGTGGGTTTTTGTGGTGATAGTGAGAAGATATGAAAGCATGTTTATGAACAGAATGTCGTCTGTGAATTGAAATTAGAGCGTCTGAGTATGAGTGAATGGACACGAGACAGTATTTAGAGTTTTTGTGGTCATTGTATTGAAGTAATTTAAGCAAAACACAACAAAACAAGAACAAAATAGAAAATAAAAACCAGTCCAGTGATTGCAGTTTTCTTGGTATGGTCCATAATGATTCAGTGATTCAGATTAAAGATGATAGATTACATTACCTTGGATTAAACTAAATTCAAAATACTTATCTCGCCATCAGGGTATGTCTTAGGCAGTTTAGTTTGATTTATGTTTTTATTTTGGGCAAGTAAGAAATGTACATTCTTTTACAATGGAACACAAAACATTCATGAAATCATAGCAGAAATAACAACCACAAAAAATAAATACTAATAAAAAATTTGCCCAAAAAAGAGTGGGAAGAAGAAAATTTATTTAATCCCACCATCTCTTCTAGTTGATTTGTGGATGAATCAGTCCATAACAAAAACCTGACACAAATATAATTTAAATAAAAGTAAGTTACTAGGTCTTAAACCCAACATAAATTCAATGTATGCACAAATATACAATAGTCCTTATTCAAATAACTTTTCATATTCAGAATATTAATGAGTTAAATAGTCATTCATCTAGATACACATTAATGCAAATTCAATAAATTAAGTTCAGTTAAGTCCAAAAGTTCAGTAAGGTTAACATTCATCAGGGAAAACCATTTCAACAATCAGTTAATTACACTTAACATTAAATCTGTAGGTGAATAAGTCAATAAGCGAATCATTTAGTAAGTCAATAATTCAGTAAGTAGGGGTGTTACGAACTGGCTCAGGGTTCGAACAAGGGACAGTCCACACATGTTTAAAAAGGTTTACAAAAATAGATATTAAAAACAGGATGCAAGGTAAGTTGTGGCCGCATGGTGGAGAGAAGAGGGGACAGTCTCCAGCAGCCAGCTGTTAAAGGTGGTGTGCCACGCCCACAATCAGATGCAGCTCGTTGGGTTGGCCCTCCCACTCTGGAGTCTGGACAGGAGGGTAGAGAGCCAGCAGTAGCACACACACGTACCCACAAAATACAAACCTAACCTGGGGTCGTAACAAGGGGAGTAACGATACCCAAGTCTCACGATACGATATTGTCACGGTATGAACCTCACGATAAGAGATTTATTGCGATATCGTGGGGAAGCACATGATATGGAGGGGAGACTCATGATTAGGGATGTAACAATATCCAAATCTCTCAGCACAATATTTTCACAATATACATCTCACGGTACAATATTTATTATGATGTTTTGTGGAGACAAACAAAACTGTTAATATGCTATTTTTTCCTCTTAAAATGCCTTGACAAGACTTAATCCAAAGAACTAAGACTTAAAAGTGCTTAGAACTGTTATTTCTTCTTGTAGTCTGCACTGAAATGGAGTGTGTATACATGCACCATGACTCAAAAAACCCGATCGGAACCGAGATACTGATGTGGATGTACACAAACTCATTATAAACAATGCGCACCAGATCAAATAGAACACGTTGCTCGCAGACTGGCACGCTGTCAGTGTTCTGTCCTTGCGTTGGTCGTTGTTGAGTTTTGGCTCTGGGGACGCACATTGAATAGAAGTAGATCTGCATCTTTTACTGTTTTTGAAATAAAGAGTCAGGAGGACAGTGATGATGATAATATCCTGAAGGAGAACAACTTTCAGTGCTTTTAAATAGTAACTGTTAGTAATAATAATAATAATAATAATAATAATGAAAAAATATATTTTATTAATTTAATTTTCAGTGTTTTAGAAAGACATATTTTGTTGTAATGCTTTGTAATGACTTTCAATTGAAATTCAATCACAGGTTTTCTACATATCCCATGTTATTTTTTTCTCTCCACTCCATCCATCTGCTCCTGGTCTGGTCCTTCAGTCAAATTTTAGAACCTTTGTGTTCCCCGAGCCAAAAAGTTTGCCCACCCCTGGTCTATGTGTTCCCTCTGTCTTTTTTTTTAACTACTGCAGCACCATAACTCTTCATTTAAGCAAAGAGACTTGTAATTCGATATATTGTGATGGTCCACGATATTATTGTGAGAAATTTGACGATACGATATCACGATATTTCGGTTATCGTTACATCCCAATTAGTAAGTGCACTTAATCGTTTTTCATCAATATATTAATGTGACCAGACAGAGAGACTGACTGGCTTTGTTTTTGCACATTTGAGACCCTCACTGTTTTGTCTAGTACCTTGAGTAACCTTTGAGTAAAATCCCTGTATTTTTTATACAGACAGATACAAGTCTTGTCCCACTTCCTCCGTCGTGCCTTGAGGCTCAAACATGTTTTATTCAGTGAAACGAAAGAGCTCATTGGTCGTCTTTCATTTTGGACTCAATCAAACTTCTCTCACCCCAGAAGAAAACAGTTTAAAGCTTCACTCGTTAATTCTGCAGAATCCGTGTTTTTCAAGACCTTGTTATATATTTTTTTCTTTTCTTTTGTCCTTATAAACTGATTGTCTAATCCACCTGCCCATCTGACGTCAAGTAAGTCACCCATAGCGTTCAGCTCCAGTCAAATGAAGCTCATGAGGGAAAGCCAGAGTCCATATTAGGAATAGGAACTGATTTACAGACACAACAGTGAAATAAAACCACAGGATCATGAACTAAAGTCATCTTTTAAAAATGGCATGGTGGCCTGAAAGTTAACTCGCCAACAGAAGACCTTTACTGCCTTTCCCGACAGTTAAAATAAACGGATTTGCGAAGCTATATTAATTATAAAAGACATTTCAGAGCTGCAAGAAGCATCAAAATAATAGATGAAGAGCAGATGGCAGTCAAACGCTGAATAAAACAGACCTTAATTTAACCGCTGTGATCTCGAAACATATTAAACGTTTCTCATAAAAGATTTTTATAGGTGTTTAAATCTTTGTTATGTTGTAGGAAAAGACTTGTCATTGCTTTAACTATTAATAGAACAAATAGTCTGTATTAAAGATGTCTAGTTTGTAATGTTGTTTCCTCATCACAAACAGACCTGGTGTTGTGTTTTGTTTCATTCACACATGTTTAACACCCTGAATATTTAGACTGAGTGTTTTTCTCAAACAGAAAACACTCTGTGACACCTTGTGATGTCATGTGGTAATACAGGAAGTGCTCCACTGTATTTTTAAACTCCACACACCTTCACTAGAATCTGGTAGAATTTGGATAATTTCAGCTCTAGAATTTCCGATCTCTACTCAACAAAATGTAAAAGGCAGCTGTAAACTTGTAAACTACTGCTTCATGACAACACAAAGTGGAACAGAGCATTTTGTGTATCATCTATATTAGTGCTTCTTGCTAGGGGTGGGCAATATCTTGATATTTTAAATATATCGAGATATTTTTTTAAATTGAAATGGATTCTGACAAATCGTATATATCAATATAAAGCTTATATTTAATTCTGATTTCTCCATTTTGCTTGTTTTGCCTTGTCTGTGCTCGTCCCTGTGCGACCCCACCTCCTTATATGAACAGCAGACAAATGTCTACCGCTGTGAATGCCCGAAGTCGGTGCCAACCAACGTTTCTAACACTACGAACCTTTTCCATCGTTTACAGACAAGGCCATCAGCACCACATCATCATATTCCACTGAGTCGTGTCCTTTAGTCCAACCGACAGCGCAGTTTATGCAAATTAGTCATGTGGTTTTAAGTTTCATTTCTATAAAACGTAAACACATGTGCGCAAAGCTGCATTAAACACATTATAATCTCAAACGGGCTGATGTGGCTCTAGAGTCATTATGGTTTAGTTTGGTTTATGGTTTATGTAAAGTTTATTTATGCAGAAGATTTTAATAAATAATCTGCTGCTGTGTAACTTGTACAATAGTGTTTAGAAGCGTTCGGTTTGATCTGTGCAGTGGATTGTGGGAGACCCCAGAGCTTCTTACGCTGGTGAGGAACATGGATCTATTAAAATAAGGGACCTCCCGAGCTTCCTATGGGAGCTTATGGTTCTGGATATCGTACGGTTAAAAGAGTTACAGCAAAGATGAGCTTGAGTAAAGTTGTTTAGTTTTTGAGTGAAAAGTAGGAAATGTGTATTATTTCGTCCTTTATTTTACACTTAAATTATTATGTTGTAGACAGGGATTGTTTATAAATGTCGCAGAAGCACTTTGTTCCTACATGAACTACCTCTTTGCACTTCAATAAAAAAAGACCTTGTGGAATTTGGCATATGTTTTGTTTTGTTTTTTCAGTGTTTTTTGTGGGGTTATATTTCCTGTACAGATATTAAGATAAAGCAAAATATATCGAGACATATTTTTGGCTCCATATCGCCCAGTCCTACTTCTTACTAACATCTTCACTTGAATTTTTTGGATTGTGACAACACTAGCTCGCACACAGTGTCGATAGTGATAATACAAAAGGTGTACGTACAGAAGCCGAGAGGGGTCACAACAAACGCAAACGCCGCAACAAATATAAAAGCCACAACACACCAAAAAAAAGCCACAACGGAAATGACTGCGGGACTCTATTTTAATGCAAAAGCCGCAACAAATGCAAACCCGCAACACAAACGCAAATGCCACAACACATTAAAAAGCCACAACACATTAAAAAGCCACAACACATTAAAAAGCCACAACACATTAAAAAGCCACAACACACAAAAAGTACGGACTCTATTTTCCGACGGACCGATCAAGCGGCAAGTGAAGAAGAAGAACTACAATGTGAAAAGTAAAGGAACGGAGAAGTTGGAAA